GTTTGAAGCTGCTGACTGTTTCCTTGAAATACTTGTATTCTTTATTGGCGGTGCATTTAAATCATGAGAAAGCACGTCGCTGAACAACCGCAGCTGTCCTGACGGAGGACGTGTGTTGTAGCTCCTGAGGGAATTCTCTTTGCGGTTACCAACGAGAGATTTTTATGATATTACGATCAGAAAGACCTGCATGAGACCATAGGGTTATGCCTGTGCCCCTGACACAAGTCAAAATTTGGAACTTTGTCTTCAAAATACATTTTTGGGGGCGTTTTTTTCCTCGAAAGAAACTGTAAATTTTTAATTTTTGAATTTGTACCGGGAAAACACGAAAGTTGTGACGTCACAACTGTGTTCACTTATCCTCATGCAAACATGGCTATCAACCAATCACAGCGTGCGTACTATTTGATTTATTTTTAAATGACACAACATTCCCTTGTTTGGCACAATGAAAAGTTTAATCCAACCACAGGCTTACCATCCGAAGTATCTGTGGTTTCGGATGTGTGGGCTCCCTGTGGTCTCTTATGGCGTTCGCCCGTTAATAAAATTTTGAATTATCGAGTGATTTCAGCTTCTCAAAAATACATCTTCTGAAGACTTTCTAAGAATTAAATGCCGTCAAAATAAAGTTTAATCATTCACTTCATGAAATTTGAGTGTTATTTCTTCGTCCGATGCGTTTTAAGGCCGGTTTTTGGCGTTTGTCTCACACACACAAACATAGCTCACGCACACTCCTTTGAGTGTTTACTAGAGAGTGCGTTACCAACGGTTATTGATTTGACTTTAATTGGCTATCAGTTTACAGCGCCGATCTGATTACAGTGCGCAGATCTGATTACAGCTTATGTAAAAGAAAACTGATTACAACACAGGAAACCCACAAGGGGCGAAGTTAATTTTCTAAAAGAAGCAAAAAATATATAGCCGGGTTCCCTGTGCCGAAACCACAGATACTTCGGATGGTAAGCCTGTGATCCAACAGACGAAAAATAAGGCCTGGTTATAAACTTCTCAAACCTCCATAAGGGAGGGAGGGTGGGGAAATATGTCCACACCGAAGGCTAAGATACAGTCAATTCAAAAAATGTTGTCGTCGACCAGCTCAAGTCTACGCGACTGGACCGAAAGGAACTCTGGGTAGCAATCATTAAAGCCGAGTTGACTCCATAATTTTATCTGACTAGTTATGCCTGGTTTACAGCACGAACTTTCGTAGGCGAGCGGGAAGTGTCGAAGGAGACGTTTTTTTAATGCCTTCATATTTTCGAAATTGTGAACTGAATCATAACTACTTTGTTTTTATTTCTCTAAACCCAAAGACATGCATTTGATGGATTGTTTCTAGCCATTATTATCTTATTACTAGCGGGAACAATTAATTCAGAACGAATATTTAACCGCTTCAGTGATTTTTACCCATATTCCTTTCGGTCCAGTCGCGTAGGCTTGAGCCGGTCGACGACAACGTTTTTTGAATTGACTGTATACAACTGAGGCTACACACGAGGTTGAATGTAACCCTATACAAACCGACTATACTTAAGACCGGAAATGAAGAACCCTTCGGTCTGGGTAGAATTAAATATTTTGACGTGGCTCAAAATCAAATAGGCCCATTACAGTAGTTCTCCGCTTATCTTACGACATGTAGGCTCAGGATCAATAATAGCGCGGAGACTGGAACGAGGCGGGAAAATACCGCTGTACACGAAATCGCAGGTTCTCGTGGAAAAATCAAAGATAAAAAATATCGATAGAGAATAAAAGGACGACTTATTATCGTAGTTTATAGGTTTGAACGATGCCAAAAAAGTGTTTGATACGTGATGCTGTTCCCGATGATTGCCCAGCTGTTTTACAGTTGATTAAGGTGAGTGTAATCTATATAATTGACAGAGAAGCGCGTGATAAAATGAGCCCAGACAGGCTGAAATCCAACTTAATCCCCTGCTTTTCCATTTTCTGATTCTTTCAACAGCAATCGGCTAAAATCTATTCCATGCTACTCAGCTGTTATTGTTGTCGTTGTTGTCGTTTTCGTTGTTGTTGTTGTTGTCGTCGTTGTTGTTGTTGCTTTCTTGTAGCCAACAAAATCTACTGTTTGTATTAAATTAGCCATTCCGAGGTTGAAGAAAAAACTGCAACCGGCGAAAAAAAAATACCTTGACGCCTTGGCAACTCAGGAAGCCCAATTCCAATATAAAGTAACTCATCTCCTCCAACCCTCCCATCCCCCCATAGCAATGTTGAATGGACTAATGCTCATGTGCCACCAATCATGAGACGAAACAACAAGCGTGACATTGCAGTGCATTGTGGGACTGTTTTAGGTGACATATTTCCAAATATGCACTGCATATACACAGTTTTCTCCTCAACCTCTGAATGGCCAATTTTTGTTGTACTACACGTAGGATCTTGCTGCATTTGAAGAAAAACCAGAATCAGTTGTCGAAATAACTCCTGAAAGTAAGTAACAGTTTAGTTTGAATATTGCAAGATTTGGAACTGATCTGTCAGACGCTTCATCCCGGTTTCTTCATCCCTCTTTGAACTATAAACTACTATAGGGAAGGGAGAAGTGCATGTGGACCCTAATTATTCCTTTTTCTTTGCCCCTGCTACACATTCCAAACCATTTTTTTGCTCTAGTTATAGAACATGATTGTTTTGGCAAGGATAAGTGGTGTTATTGTCTGGTTGCTGAGGAGGAGACAGAAGATGAAACAAAGAAAATAGTTGGCTATGCGATGTTCAACCATGCTTATTCTACATGGAAGGGTCGCATGTTGTATTTAGAGGATATATATGTTGCACCTAGTGCAAGAAGTAAGTATTCCTGCCCTATGATTGAATAAGCTTCAGAAGGCAGATAACAATGCAAAATGATAGGGTTTCCTGTGGCTAAGATTCTTGTTTTATTCCTGGGCCATTTTTGCTCCTCCCCAGCCCCCCACCCC